CCATTTACATTCACAGTTGAGGAGCCCTGTATTTTCATCCTATCTTATGTTGAGAACAATTGACACACAAAAAATAAAGAATTTAGAAAAATAAAGTCAGCCCCAGGAGGAGGGAAAAGCTGACCTTCCTCAGAGTGTGTTTTCAGGAGGTTTAGAAAGGATTCCCCAACACCCCCACACTTTGCCATCACAAAGACTAATATTCTACAACTAGACTTCTTGATTTTTGTTTTTCAAATGCATTTATAAATTTTTAGAAAAATAAGAAAATGCTTTAACAGCTGTTAATGATGACCAATGGAGTTTTAAAAATTATTTAATTAGAGATTTAATGTAAAATGTAAGGTAACCTCAATTCCCACTAATGTATAAGGTATTAATATTTAATTGCACTTAAGGTAGGTAACTATGCTAAATCCTGTCATCAGATCCTTTCCTGAAAAGCTTTAATGACTAAGGAGTCAAGAGAATTCAAAACTACTGCATCCTAAAAGGCAATGGGGAGCATAGCATGATGCAAACGGCTCCCAGAAGAGCCACCTGTACATGTTCATCGATACGCTGTCCCAGCTTTGTTGTGGGACTAGCCCTATGGCCCAAGAGCCAAGACCTGCATGAGATTTTCTAATATCCAGCCAGTGTTCTGTCCGTTATGTGCCTTTGAAGCTGATAATGCCACTATACCCCAAATGAGGTTAATGCGTTGTGGAGTTGGTAAATGACATTTTGCACACACTTAGGAAAAGAGGTAATATCTGTAGATAAGAGTTTCTGAAATTTTTCAAGCTATAATTATGCTTCTGCTTATAAAAAGCTAGGTTGGATGTCTTAAGCCCTTAATATTTTTGCTTCATTCTTGCCTTATTGTTTTGCTATGATGGCTTTTTATTTTAGCTTTTTTGTTTCACTGTTTGTGAATAGTGTCTGTCTCCCTCCTCTTTCCTAGTAATGCTGCTGCTTTATCTCTCTTCCATTCATATTTTTTTTCTTTTCTTTTTGCTGCATGGAGACTCTCTGCTGTACAAGTGTAAGTATTTTTTGGTGGCTCTGTGGTTTATATTCTTGTGCTCCATTTGCTTCTGTGCTGCTTGGCTGGTCTCCCAGGAGACTGTAGTGTCATCGTCCATCTGCGGATCCTGAATGAAATAGGCAACAATTTAGAGATAAGATTGGATTTTACAAGATGGTTCAGCTAGCAAAACAGGCGATGAATTTAAAATATCCCCAGCCATGTGCCTGAAAGCAAGCAGAGTGTTGATGAAGAGGGTACAAACATTCAAGAGAGGAAAAGTGCTTACTCCATTTATACAATAATAAAAATGAAAAGACATGATTTACTTAAATTTCCAAAGTTTTTTTTTTCTGATTCTTATATTACTTGTTTCGGGTCCTGGGTTGTAAAAATGGGCACCGTGATTTGCTTCTTGGATTAGAAGAATTTTCCTAATCTGTTTCTCAACTGGTACTGTTTTGCTTTTTTCTTTTAAGCTTTGGTGGGGGTCGAGAAGAAATTATAAATTCTTGAGCTTCGAGTAAGAGTGTTATTTATTATTCTTTGTGCAAACTTGGCAAAAACGAGGAAATTACCTCATCCTATTTTTATGGTGATAATAAGCAATTTAACTCTCATTAAAAAATATAGTATGTCTAGGAATTACATGCTAAAAGTGAGTTTGACAGGAAAATATGTTGCGTTGTTTGTAAGGTTCCAATGTTAGTGTTTTAACTTGCGAAGTAGACAGAACTCTATTGAGCTACAGGCAGAATAGTTTTAAATCCATTGTAGTCTATTATAAAAATTGGATGAAATGAGTAAGGTTTCAGAGTAACGTAAATATCAATGCTGCTTTTGGATTCTTAGGAAATAGATATATGGTATATCGTCTGCCATGGTGGGGGTTTATTGATGGTTTATGATATTAGGACAAGAAAGAAGTCTGTTGAGGATTTCCCATCTAAATTACATTTAAAATAAGGGTTTAACACATTTTTTTCTCATTTCTTTAGAATGTGACTATTAAAAATTACTTATTACTCAAAATGTATTTTTAAGATAAGTTAATTTTGTCTGGGCTTAAAGTTGACAACGTTAACCATGAATTGATTTGTGAAATGTCCATTTGGAGTGTGCACTTCTTCTGTCTCAATTGCAGACCCCTTCATCTGATGGACCGTTTGTGATTTCCCTGACTCAGAAAACACTTAGGCATTGACCAGTGTCAAGGGAAGGTCAATGAAGACTGAGAAACAGTCTGAGAAAATTAACCCTTTCATTTTGATACAAAAAGGGAAGAGTGCTAACAGTTCCAAAGAAGCTGGTAAAGTCAGATTTTTTTTTTTCCTAGGATGTAATTCATCGGTCAACCTAAAAGTTGAGGGGAGGAGGTAGGAAGAGTGCAAATAAACCAAATTTTTAGAAAAACGTTGAATATTTGCTCCTAAATATACACTTAGGTGGATTAACATAGTTCATTTTTACATTTCTTCTTGCTTTAGATTTATATGTAATGGGATTGTAGGAATAAGCCAATAAGATTGAGGAGGTCCACATTTTCCATAAAACTAAGGAAGAATAAATTCCAAAGAAAAGTAAGAAAAATATGAGGGAAATAAGGTTCATTTTTTTTTCTCTCTGTTGTTATACTTAAACCCCATGAGAGAAAGAGATAGAAACTAGATTTCATTCTTCAGACCAATTGCAGAAACTAACCTGATTGTAAATTTTATCTATTTTAGCTAAAGTCCATTGGCCCTGTTATAAAACTTCAGAACTAACAGATATGATAATTACAGTGAAAGAGTTTTGTGGGAAATATAATTAGAAGTTATTTGCATTTGTAAAAAGCACATAAAATAAGGGAAAACAATGAAATGCATTAGAATGCATTTTTCTGACATTCACACTTTGTATACTGGGCTTTGAAGCATTACAAAATGAGACCAAGAGGAGAAAACTAGTTCCCCTTTGATTGATGTCAACCATCAGAAAATACTGATGATTTTGTGTGTTTCTTAATGTCTCTAAAATTAGGTTGAGCTGAATGATTCATTTACAGATGGACATCAGTTTGTAAATAAGTCTCTTTCTATGCATTATATTCTACCCCTTTATATAGATAACTATATTTTCATATATTTGAAAAATTGCAATGTATTTGAAATGTCATAATTTTCATATATTTTACATGTATTTGGTATCTATTATAAAGGCTTTAATGATAGAGAAACTTGAGCCAGATTATTTTTGCTCATGAATACCCTTCCTATAAAATAAAATCAAGAGTCACAGGAAACAAAAGACTTCTTCAATTCATGCATTTTTAAACTTCTTTCCTATTTATTTGTGACTATCTAAATGAAATTGGCTAGAAATTATATCCCAAGATGCTACTTCATTCTTTTATCTACCATGTTTATATGCAAGGCGGATAAAATACTGAAGAACTTTTCACGACTAAACACAGCATATGTGTTGGTAGTTTGTATCTCTTGAGAATTAATTATTTTCAGAGCTTTCACCTGTGAATAGACTAGTCCTGCCACTAACTTATTCAGCCAACTGCAAGGCCAATTTTGGGGAGAACTGCTTCAAACTGGATTCCTTTCCAGTTGCATTGTGTTGACTGTGTTTTTATTGAACCTGCAAAGCCTATTGCTTTATAAATAGATACTCCTCAAATCGTCTGCCTTTAACAAAACCTTGAAAGAACTAAATTAGCAAATTTCATTTGGTATGTCAGGAAAACCAGCCTGGATTTAAATACATTTGCTCATCATTTTTTCTTTCCTTTTCTTTCAACAATAAATAATAGCAAAAGGATATTATTATTAAAACTGGCATATTTATTTGTCAAAACCATCGAGTTGTTTGCTTTAAAGGTCAGTACCAACTGATTTTTTCTTTGAGCCAAAGAATGTTTTTCAACCATGTGGATTGTCATTATTATTATTATTTTTTTTGAGAAAGCCTTAGATGACAACCTATTAAATGAAGTGAAAGTATACGAACGAAGTTCTTTCAGTTACGTTAACTCTTAGTTCATACAAGTACCAGTTTCTAGTACCAAACTAGTTAAAACATCCCTAAAGTCCATCCATCTGTATATTGGTCATGAATGGGGTGGTAGGAGGGACACTGAGCTCCTTCATCACTGGGTTCTGTCTCTGGCACTGCTCCTACTGCCAGCTTGAGTGTTAGCCTTTATCATCTCCATGACTCTGTTTTGTCCTTCGAGTTTCTTTGTATAAATGATGACAAAAGGTCCCTCTACCTTTGACATTTGTGTGATCCTGTTGAGGGAGAAGATAACGCCTGTCTGAGGGTTGGCTTTGCACCATAAACAGCTGACACCAATGCTAGGAAAATGCTGTTAAGTTTTGGCCTTGGTTTGAGTTTGGGTTTCATTTTTTAAAAGACTAGCAGGATCAAAGTGGTGTTAATGAGAAGAGCCAGCAGATACAGACTTTTGAATCCTGGCATCTTTTCCTGGTGTTTGCCCATGATGGAAAGATCAAAATCTCGGTGGCAAAATGTGAAACAAAAGAGTTAAACCACTTAAATCATTGAAGTGACACAGAGTTCGGTGTTGCTTCCATTGATGTTGTTGTGACAATGAACAGTGAAGATTTGTGTTTTCAATTTTTTGTGACTGATTTTGCAGTCTTTGAATTTTATTTTTATATCTATTTTAACATCCTCATGTACAGCTTCGAGTTAAATTCTCTGTCATACGTTGTTCTTTCCAGCTATATAAATAGAATTTGGCTGGTTAGGCTGGGGGAAAAAAGTAAGAGGTTAGCTGTATCATTTGAGAAATTTAAATGTTTAGAAATATATCAATCACTTCAGTCTTTTCAGTTAGGCTACCAGCCATCCTCCAAAGCAGTGAAAATGATGTTTAAATGCTAAATTTAAATAGTCAATCTGGAATGTTTCTGAAGTTTGAAAGGGGAGTTTTCTGTGACTACCTGTCTAAGTGTTTTCTTTATTTTATTGCTAGATGACTCCTAAATCCAAAAGAAAGAGTATCCATAGCCGAATGCTACGGCCTGTTTCTAGGGCCTTTGGTAAGTGAGTGTTTTGCTAATGCCAATCATTTCCTTGTAACTATGAAACATCCTCGGCAAGGCCCTCAGACTATTTTAGGGATGTTTCTTAGGGATGTACTATATGGGCAAATACCAAGAAAGAGAGTTAAGTGATTTGTGAATGAGTGTTTGCTATTCCATGATGAAAATACTTTAAGGAATTTTTTTATCCATTTCTATGCATTAAGCTTTGGCCTCAGACATTTTTTTTTTTTTTTTAATTTTAGAAATGGAGTTTGATCTAGATAAAGCACTAGAAGAGGTGCCAATTCACATTGAAGACCCACCCTTCCCATCCATCAGACAAGAGAAGTGGAGTTCAGGATTTATTTCCGAGTTGCCCTCTGAAGAGGGGAAGAGGCTGGAGCACTTTACCAAGTTACGCCCCAAACGAAATAAGAAGCAGCAGCCTACCCAAGCAGCGGTAGGTGGGCCGGAAGACCCCATCTCTCTCTCACCCTTTCCTTCTCGGGGTGGGGTGTGGGCAAGCTGGAGACTTGTTGCAGTGCTTTGCACAGCACGAGAGCTATAGTTAAGGAGACTAGCTCCTCTCGACATGTGATAGGCATGCAAAGTATCTCAACTCTGTGCTCAATTTTGGAGAAGACAACGCTGTTAAGTGTCCAACTCTTGAGAACAGAGCCACCCTTGGAAATCCCTAGAAAAATATCAGACATGTGGGTGAGATAAATAGGCTGTGTCTGTAGCACTTTACAGTGTCTGGGCAAAAAGATGTAAAGTAAGTACCGAAAGAATTTATTTGTTATTAAAAATTGTTTGATTTTGGGGTGCACACAGGTGCTCCCCCCACCTCCATGCTCTGTCCCGCTGTGGTCTCTCTAAAGAGGCCCTACATGGGAGCTCCAGTGTGTGACTCCACATTCTGCTCTTTTTACTCCAGTGGAAGATAGAATTGTATGTGCTGATGAGGCTTAATGTAATTCACCCTGTGTCTCCCTCTGGCTCATGTCTTTTCTTTATAGCCAAACTTCTTGGAAAAGTTTGCCTGTACTTACTGTCTCTCTTCCTCACCTTCCTGTCACTCCACAATCCACCAAAATCTTCCTTCTACAGCTGCCCACCAAAAACTACCCTGCCAAGGTCACTCCTGACCTAATCCTACGGACTCTTTTCAGCTGTCTGTCATCTTACTCGATGTCTCAGCAGTTCCTCGACACAGAAAGTTCCATCCTTCCTGAAAGGCAATTTCTTTTTGGTCTCTGAGTTGTCACACTCTTTTCTTTTCTCCCCACCTCTCCAGTGATGCCTTTTCAGTTTTCCTCTTCTGGGCTTTTTAACTACAGCCCTCTCTGCTAAGCTCTAGATTTCTGGATATCTACTTGCCTCCTGAACTTGAGCATACCAGGGCACCTTGGGCCCAACAAATTCCAAAGTGAGAGCCTATCTTTCCCTACAAACCTGCCCTTCCCCTCACATCCTCTGTTCTTCACAGACATCATCAGTTGACAGGTTAGAAAGCTGAATGTGATCCTGATCACCAGCTCTCTGCCTTCCTCCTTGGCATCTCTACCCCCAATCCTGGGCTACAGACCTCTGGTGCTGCAACCCTTTTCTCAGTGCTTCCCCCTGCCCCCTGGGCTGATAACTACTCTCAGATTTTTCAGCTCTCCACTGAGGCAAGATTTCTTCCATGAAGCCCTCCCTATCTCTGTCTCTGTGCTCCCACAAAGCTATGGTTGCATGATGCCAGGGAAGGTTGTTCTCATAGACTAGTTATGCTCAGTGCACAGCCTGAACAACTCTTCATGGAGGCCCTGGCTTCTCTAGTGCCTGATGCTTACTCTGTTACAGCTCTCATCACACATTGTTTTCACAACTCTCTCCTTGCCTGTAAGTTCTATGTAGACAGGACCTGTGATTTATTATCAATGGTAAGATGCTCAGTGCTCACTGTGGGCTTAAACTATAGTGGGTGTTCAACAATACTTACTGGATAAATAGGTGGATGGCTGGAGACATAGGTGGATGAGGGTCACAACAGCTTATTTGCAATAATTTACTCCTTTTAGATTAAGCTTTAGTTGTGTTTGGTTTATTTCTCTCATTTGAAGCTGAAGAGCTTGGCACAGTTTCAAAAACAGACCAAAAAAAAAAAATCCCTCTAGTGCACTGTTTTCTAATTTACTTGATTTTAACTTTTTTAGTGTATTATTACATATTCTTAAAGGGATAAACTTTTTTCTCTCTTTTTTTTTTTAAATAAGGGAAAAGCCTTTGCAGATGGGGAAAGAGACAGCCTCACACATAGTAACCCATCTCCAGATGTGAGATTGTTACTGAATAAATGGTTTCCCTTTGGTTCTTTCCATGCGGAGAATCATTAACAGCATAGCTTGCATGTGAAATGATGGCTTAAGTTTCCCTTGATTAAGTTAGTGACTCATGGGAAGATGATTTTGTGTATTTTTTTCTTTATGCATATAAAAAACAAGAAAGAAGGGAAGGAAGCTGTGACAGAGTCGTAGTGGAGGTGCACACTAGATATTGCAAGGGAGAAAAGACATCTTTTCTCACCCATTGCTAAGTTCATGGCTGAAGCACCTATAACTAAAGGTAGATTAACAAGAGAAAAGCATAACCAAATTTATTGAGTGTAAGTTTTGCATGACATGGGAGCCTTCAGTAATGAAGACCCAAAGAAACATGGAAACGTGTGTTTTTATGCTAAGTTGGATGAAGTGGAGGAGTATGATTGGACAAAGGGGTATGCTCTAATGGTAATAAGCTGGGGGGAAGTTAGCAAGGCCTGTTTGTTCAGATCCTTTTCTCTTTCCCCATGTCTTCAGAGATAAGGACATTTCTTTCCTCTGGGTGGGTATAAAGAAGTCACCACTTGAATGATGATTTTACGACCTGCTTTAGGGGAGAAGGAAGAGGGCAAAGTGGGAGAGACCTTCCTACTTCAGCTGTTTTCTCAAATGCCAAGGTGCCATATTTTGGAGTAGCATGTCCTGAACCCCATCAACATATTCTAAACAGACTTTACCTTTGTTCACACTAAAGCTGGGACTCACAGGACCAGCATACCCTGGGCTGTTCCCTCTTAGGGACTCTGTAACACAAAAGTTAGTCCCAAAGTGACAAATGATGGCCATCGGTCTAAATAGATCTGGCTTTTTTCTAGAGCTTTGGTGGACTGAGAAACATGGATTAGCATGCTTTTACTTGGGCTCATAGTGAAAATATAATACCTTTATGATATCACAATGCTTACCATTTTCAAAGTGCTTTCATGTCTTAACCCTGTGAAGCTGCCACATAGGCATATTATCCATATTTTTCAGGTAAGAACGAGGAGGCTATGGCTTACTTTTGTTATTAGTGTTTAGCAGCAGCAATCATTAACAATTTCCTTTGTTTTTCTTGCTAGGATTGAGTAGAATCTGTTCATCCTAAGTCTGTCTTAGCTTTTCTAGAACTTGTCCCTAACCTCTAATGTCCCTAGTGATCCTTTCCAGGTGCCACAATTCTCAAAGTCAAGGCTAAGTCAAATGCCAACACGACAGTTTCTTCTGGGCCAAACATATTATTGTTGTAACTATTGATTTTTGTACCAAAAATATGCAAAGAATTATTTATGTAAATATGAAAAGTGGATAACCTATTCTAAAAAGTAGGCACAAAGATTTATTTTTAGTTCAGACCACACTGGTTTTAAACTACCAGACATTGTATGCATAAGGGATATAGACATTTTAGCTATACATTTTAATTCTTTGCTATACTCATACAAAAACAAGATTTACTTTTAATAACAAGAAATAAAATATACCAGTTTCTTATTTTTTTACTTAATTAAAATATATAAAAATTCTTACATACTGCATTATAGCTGGTCAGCCCATAAAAGTTAATCTTCTACTGTAGTAGTAAGAGCAAAATGTTAGACTCAGCCAATGGGCTGGCAATGTGTGTCTGGACAAGGCATGTGATTCTTTTTTTTTTTTAAGCCTGAACCAACTTGTTTCTAAAATGCCAGCATTGCCTACATCATTGAGTTGTCATGAGAAATAAGTATTAAATAGAATAAAAGTATATAATCCTTTATTAAATGCAAATGTTCTTCAAACTAGTATTTTTATTTTATTAATATTAGCTATCTTTACAGTATAAATATTATATTGGCTTTTGCCTTTACTCCTTATTTCCCCTTTCCTTCACTTAAACAGAAGAAGAGAAAAAAAAACCCTGGAAACTGATTTAATACCCCCCTTAGGTACTCCCACTAATTTAGGGCATTCTTACCCATGTTTATTAAGGAGCAAATCAACTCACTTTACATTTATATTCAAAAATTATTTCCTCAGTTCAAATGACTTTCAGAAGTCTTTACTTTTGGGAAAAGAGCTTCATATGGGTAAATAAAGAGTAGAAATGCCATCTTTGAAGGTACCAGAATGTTCCAGCATGCCTATGAAAGGGTACAGCAGAGAAAAGGGTGTATGTGTAGTGTACAGTTGGCTCTCCATATCCATGGGTTCTGCATCTGCAGATTCAACCAACTGTGGATCGAAAATATCTGAGAAAAAAAAAATAATAAAAAATAACGATGCGACAGTAAAAAAACACATTAAAAATACAGTAAAACAACTATTTACACAGCATTTGCATTGTATTAAATATTATAAATAATCTAGAGATGGTTCAAAGCATATAGGAGCATGTATGTAGGTTATATGCAAATAGTGTACCATTTTACATAAGAGACTTGAGCATGATGAGTATGGTTATCTGAAGGATACCATCCTGGAACCAATCCCCTGTGATATCAGGGGATAATCGTATTAGGTAGGATAACACTAGCTCTACTATATGAGATAAACTTTTACTATGTTGAAACTGTGATATTTTGTATTTTATTTCTTACACACATAGTTCACTGTGGCTATTTCTGGTCAGGAGACCCTACAATGGTCATTCAGGGATCCAGGCTGCTTTTGCTTTGTGGCTCCACCCTCCTCTTTGGTCCTTGGAGTCTGTCTATTCAGGTAGAGGTTGACATAAAGCACTAAGGTTCATATCCATGAACTTTTATGGGCCAGGTCTGAAGGTGATGAACTTCACTTTCAGCTGAATACCACTATCCAGGCAAACCTGAGAAACACTTTCTAACCAGGACACCTTATAGTGATGGAGGGGTGCTGACTTAAGCCTTATACCTATCCACTACCACTTAGCTACTGCTTCTTTCTACTTTCACTTATTATAGCTATAGGTGAAAAGTATTCCCTTAAGGAAAAATCACTGAAAAATTTACATAGAGGAGTGGAAAGAACACTGGACTGGGATATAGTCCTGACTCTGCCACTGTCTAGAATCATCTCCCAGCGGAAGGATTGTTAAAGATTATCTCCTCACTTTTCAGGGGAATGTGAAGCCCAAGGCAGATAACCGATTTGCTGA